GGAAAAAACCGGCCGTGAGATCTCATTCGTTACGGAGACTCGCGTCATGCCCAATGTTGTTCCTCTTGTACATTATTGTAATAACTGATGTATATATATATATATATTATGATGTTTTAGGTTTACGCCGTAAACGAGTTATGTGTAAGTTTAAGTAGGTATATAACGCATATAGATATTATATTCCCCCTCCCCTCCCCCCAAAATATGGCTGTGATGATGCGGTTTGTTTTTTGCTCGATGGCGACAAAGAAAAACCTATTTTATTTATTATTATTATTATTTTTAAATTACTTCTGTAAGATAAAAAACGTTGAAGACAATAATAAAAAAAAGAAGAATATTTTTCGTTAATTCCGTAATATAACGAATACTATATTATATACGGCGACGACGGTGACGATAATATTATATAGGCGCACGCACGACGCATCGCTGAAATACCAAATCAATTAATTTTATTTATTTTCACACACTCTTATCAATAATTATTCAATTTTAATATTTAAAATTATAAAATATTACATGCTTCGTGTTCGGGGCGTGCGCCAAAACTCACTCCGGTCGTCCGGCGTCGTTCACTATATTATAATATTACCCATTGTCACTACATATTATTATAATATATTTCCATAATTTATTGAAAATTACCTATGATTATATTATCATTGTAATATTCCCATTTTCTAGTATTATCGTTGTTACGTGTATATATAATAAGGAATATTATTTATTTGTCGCTTGTGTAGATAAAAATATATATTTTAATATTAAGCAATTGTACCTATGTTTTTTTTTCAAATTTTGACGGACTATATGATTTTCATCGTTCTGTCGTCGAACCTATACAATACTATTATATTATTATCATACATCATACATAAAATACGAATTATACGTTAAGACATATTAATTTATTATATCTGACGTTTTTTTAAAATTTTATTTAAATATACGATTATTATTTTTTATTATATACCTGTTAAATCATTTGCAATTTGCTGCGTGTCGATCATATTATTCTTTTACCACGGCCGCACACGCATGCGCGTTGCACTGCGGTGTTTTCGCTATAATGCAGGTATTATACTATATCATAATATTATCATATACTGACGTGATCCATCGATCTGTGTGGTATCATTGGTATCCTATGCACGGTTATCGCAAACTTATAGTTTCGCCACGGCGGTTCTCCTTGACACGTGGCGGTGACGTTATGGACCGTATCGCCGCGTGAAAGTTTCGAAGGATGAGCAACTGAAAAGAGAGAGAGAGAGAGAGAGAGACGTTGGTTGTAATTATTATTTGGTCGTTACGCCGACGACGTGCGGTACAGCAGCGGGAGATCGGTTTTTCCTCCGTTCTCTTCTCTCATCTCTATTTTATAATTACGTAATATTGTACGCCGATGAGTCAACAACAGCCCTGCTGCAGGAAAACAATACAAAACGACGTAAAACACTCGGTGAGTTCAACACAGACGGGGCACAATATCAGTCGAATGATTTTCCAAAAGCAAAATCCTGCAGACTCTACGTTATAATAACAACATGTTCGAAGGCGTGCGCTGCAGACTTTGTCCGAAGTGTGGGGGGGAGGGGCACATAAAAAAGTTCCGAACGAATTACCGAAGATTCTTGTACTAATAATATTATGACTATTAAGTTAAATATTAAATTTAATAAGGTATACCTAGTTATATTTATTTAATTCAATATGTAAACATAAAAATAATCTTGTACATACTATAGATCTACAGATGTTTATGCATTTATTAAAGAAAAAACTGGAAGGCCGCCCCCCCTCCCCCCGCAAGCACGTCTATGAACATGTTATGATAACTATATATATATATATTATAGTATAATATTAATAATTATATAAACACAGACACGGTGGTATATTATATATTATATATTATGAGGTCAGGGAAGTAGTCCCTGCATAGGAGTCGTGKAAGTATATTTTCGTGTGTCTCGTTTGATATATATATTATTACGTTTTATGATGATATTGTGTTGTGTTTGAGAGAAAACTCTCAGACGAATTACGACGACGAAGATCTGCGGAGACTACAGTGCCCATATTAGACGGAGACGGATCGAATGATATAAAATAATAATAATAATAATAATAATGGTGGAGAAGAAAAAATCACATGCTCCGCCGACAAAATCTTCCGAACGGTTACGGACAGGTACACAGACAATCATACATATATAATATATATATATATATATGTACAGAAAACGGCATTAGGTTTGTATATAGCTGCCGGTTGTATACGATGATGTCGAAGCCACCACAATGACAAAAAAAAAAAGAAAAAGTTATATATTATTACACGCAGATGGGAGGGCCACGGTTTTWTTTTTTCATTCTTTCTTCGGCCGTTCACGATTCTTTATTCCTCCACCCCTCCACCCGCGTATACCTTCTTCGTCATGGCGTACAATACGTTATATACCTACCTACCTACCTGTAGCCGCACACCTGGTACCTACCGATTATATCCGAAATCTCGACGCGGCGGCTCATACGCGTCTCTTATTTTTTTTTTTCGGTCCTTCGTCTCCCTCGCTCGCTCACTCACTCWCTCTCTCTCACTCGCTCACTATCTTTCGATCCCCATCCGCCTATCTCGCTTTTACCGAAGGTGGGTTATATACCTAAAGTATTATACGCCGGTCTGCAGCGCAGTTAAACTCCATCGCTCTGGTCGGGTTTCTTTTGTACGCGCTCGTACACGCGTGTATTTATCTGAATATTTACACACGCACGCGCAGAGCGTATTTATATAGTTCATATTGTGTGCGGACAAGTACCTGTGCAGCTCCGTCGTAGACACCTGGCCCGTCTTACAGTCGATTTCGGCGGTGGGGGAGGGGGTGGTTGCAGCTTCTCATTGTATGCACAGAAACCCTTTGAGACGACGGCGGTAGTTTTTCCTAGTCAAACGATAATGCGTTCTCCTCTGACCTCAATAATATATAATATAACATAATGAAATGTCTCATTGTTATGGTACCTATATTTCGTTTGTCTTTTGTGAAACGTTTACGGATCGACGCGAAATGTAAATGCTCGCTGAACAGGGTGGCGGCGAACACAATCGCGAGAGCACCACTCGCTCTCGGCGGTACCTACACATCATATTATTATTATGTGCGTATTATTTATTGTAAAGGTCTTACGACGTATATTATATTGTGCACTGAGCACTATTATCAAACCACAATATATAACATTATATAAGATAATGAAATATGATAATATATTATATTGTTGTGTGTATGTGAGTGTGTGACGGCGGACCATCGAACTTTTCGCTACCATTTTCGTATAATACTGCAAGACAAATGTATTAAATTCGCGCAAAATGTGCAAAATGTACCTAACCTAACCAATTAGCGTATAAGGCAATTTTGCGACATTTTCACACGATGGCGATGGCGACGCAAAAATATGCATACGACGCAGGTAGGTAATATAATATTATCATAATAATTTATTTTATTATCGCACAAATGTTATTATAATGTACACGTGCTACACRRAAATTGAAATGTTGTTTTCCTCTCTTGTATATAACAACTAGTGCAGTGCAGCCGTGTGTTTGAATAGGTGTTTTCGGCACGAAATCCAAGCAATTTATATGACACGATCATACATTACTGCACACACTCGCATTAAATATTTTAAATGCGTATAATATTTTTGGCATGTTAGATATTGTGACTTGTATTGCGTTTTAGGAGAATCGCTTTGTTATTTTCCGTATGTACGCGATATTGTCAGGTCGTCGTAGCAAGTGGCCAATTAATAAAAAAAAAAAAACTGCTGCGTGTGTGCGCGTTTTGAGAATATAATATTATTATATTGAAGAAAAAAAATCACCTAATGACTTATATATTATAAATATAGGTAGGTATACAGTGTTATAAAATAATATTATACGTATATTTAGTTAGGTTAGGTAAGTTCTCTGCCACGTTATAAATAAATATAATAAATTGTAATAACATTTTATAAGTTCTGTATAATAATTAATAATAAATATTATCTATTAAACCGCTAGATCGAAAATACAATTTTTTTTAATATTACGTCGAGCCAGCAACAACGGATTTTTATGCCTTGGACGGAAGTGTACGATAATATCATATCATCGTAGATATATTCATATTTTATACTCGGAAATTGTAATTTTCATAGGRCACTATACCGCCACACGATAGTTTTATAATATTATTATAATTATTAATGGCAGCATTTGTATTATTTTCCAGCATTTTTCACTTATATTACCTATATGTCCGGTATATACCCAACTACTTTGCATCGTCTCGTAATATCGTAATAATAATTAATATTATGCGTGATAAAATCTAAAAAAAAAAATTCGTGACGATGACAACAATATTATAATATTATAACGAACCACCGCCATCGCGGATGTRGCCGCCCAGCGCAGTAGGCATTTGTGTTTTAAAATTATGTTTTTGTTCGTGCATGCTGTATTTACGTTTTGATTGTTAATGTGGCATTCACTATACCTATACCTAGTATGTATATATTATTATGTAAGTGAATCCGACAGCTGCACAGCGAGCGCGACCTACTCGAAATCTCTTGGTTGATCTTTATAACGAGCGACGTCTTCCGTCGGAATTAAATTGGTCTCCGGTAAAAAAATAAATAATCGAAAAAAAAAAATGAAAAATCTTCATCGCTCGACGTTGGGATCTGTTTTTCGTCGCCAGTTTTCTAAAATATGAGGC